TCTCTCTCTCTCTGCCCCTTCCCTGCTTCTCTCTCTCTCTCTCTCTCTCTCTCTCTCAAAAATAAATAAATATTGAAAAAAATAAGAGACTATCTCAAACTTAGTAATTGTCTTACATGTATCCACCTTATGTCTTAAAATTAGTTCCCTATTCTCTTAGGGAGAAATCCACAGTTTAAAAATAAATAATTCTTCATTTCAAGCATAGCAGTAGGAGCTTGATAGACATTCAATAAATGTTGATTATTCAATTTTAGATACTAACCCAATAAATTATTTTATGTAAAGATTAAGATTTAATGAAATGTTATAGAGATCATTAACTTCTATCTCATATTAACTTAAAATAAAAAGTGGCTTCAAATCACTATTTTTTTAAATTCACATTTCTTAGTTTTACTAAAGTTCTGAATACACTAGCTCAAAAGCCATGATTCTTTGAATTTTGAAAATAACATGAAACTTTAGAAAAAAAAGTTAGTCTTTGTAATTTCACATATACAGCTGACCTTATTTTTGGTAGGTTTGTGAAATTACTTTGTGAACTACAAAAACTTTAAACCAAAACTTAAATTTTATCTACTTCTCTATTTGGACAATTAAAATCTAGAGTTTGGAGTCAAGGGAGCAATGATAAGAAAAGAATTCAAAAGGAAAAGAGATAGAGTTTGCCCTGAGGACAATTAAATGTTCCTGTCATTTCATTAATGTTATCTATTTATATTTTACTTAAATCTTCAAGCTAATAAGGAGATGCAGTGGGAAAAAAATCGAGTTGATCTGGCAGCCACATTTATAGGATTTCAGTTAATAGTATGGGGAATGATAAGGAAATAAGCCTATCGGTGTTTGATGCTTAACACAAATTAAATATTTTTGTGTTTTTGTGATACATCTTATCTTTCATGTGCCTCATAGCGAGTGGAGGTCAGATAGTTAATAAGCTCAGAGGAAAACTAATGTCTGTAAATATATAGTAAAATCCTGAGAGGAAAAAAAAACCTCTTTGATATCTAGACGGAACATGGCTTTATAGAAAAATTAAGCCAATGATATAATTGTTACCAAGGCTATGGCAATACCATCATAAAATAGTAGTAGTAGTCGTTAGTAGTAATACTAGTAGTAGAAATAGTAATTAGTAATTTAGAAACCAAAGTTTTAAAACTATTCTTTTGATTTACATTATTTTCAGAAATCACTTCCTTTTCCTGGATTGTACTATGATAATTTTTTAAAAGGAGATTCTTACAAAAACAAACAAAAAAAATAATAAGACTATGTTATAGGGTGGCAAATGCACCTCTTCTTCTCCATGACAACAGATAAAGAAGCCGTAACCATGGCAACAGTAATGGGCCAGGGAGATTAGGTCCAGACTGGAGATTAGGCCTCCAAGAGCAAAGAAAAAAAGTCCTGATTGGTTCCTTATTGAGACCTTATGTGAAGATGAGTGACTGTTGAGAGAAAGCCTGGAGGATTAGTACGAACAAAATTAATTCCCTGTATAAAGAAAGAAGCCATCTCTTTGTTAAAAAATGTGTCCATTCCTTTTCAGACGAGGACTGTTTAAACTGAGGTAAAAGAGTCCGCGATTCATTCTATTCTGAGCTTTATCTGTGTCATCTGCATCTAGACTAGCTCTGTGAGAAGGCACTCCTGGAGGCCTGAGGAGAACAGCATCTGTGTGCAGGCTCTCATTGCTCTGCCTCTAGGCAGCCCCTGAATGGGTGGGGAAGTCAACTCATTTCGGATGTGATACCATCTCTACGTGAGGTGCTTTTGAGGAAAAAGGAACTGAAAATTTGTCCCCTTTTCTCTTCCAAGTCATTTGTCTAACTTCTTGAGAGTTCTCAAAAGGTTTTTGCAAGTCACCATTGATCACATTTGCTTTTTAGAAAATCTTTTGTAAAAAAAAAAATCGCGTAAGGATCCCATTTACTTTAAACTGGTAAGATGTATAGGTATTACATTTGGAGAAAATGAGCTATGATTTCACAAGGATGCATGGGTTACTTAAGGTTTTTTAAAATGATAAATTTATAGACCTGAGAATGTTTGGTCAGATGGTATGAATATTTTTCACTTTAAAGGATTTTGCCAAGTGAACTGCTAAAAAGACTGTACTCTTACAAACTTCAACTGACAGTGTAAGAGAGTGTCACATCCTGGCCAACTGTAGATACTAACATTCTTTAAAGTCTTGCTACTGTGACAGATTTTTTTAAATGCACTTTATCCTGACAGACTTTTTTAGATTTTATTTTAATGCACATTTCTTTTACTGTCAGGTTGAACCCTACTTTAAAATAAGTTTCTGTATTATTTTATTGATCTTTGGACATTCCTGTTATATAATAGATATTAACTATCATCTGTTAGATATTTTGCAAATACTTTGGATCAGTCTTTCCAGAGGAAACGACACTAAACTAAGTGACAGGGGATAGCAGGAGTTAGGTGGACGAGATGGGTCTGGTAGAGTGGGAGCTACTGTGTGGAGGCTTTGGGGAATCACCCGTGTATCCTCATGGAGAGAGCCTGCTTAGTGCAAGCAGCAAAAAGCCAGGAAGCCTTCAGATCCTCTTGTCGTTCATAGGTGTGATGACTGGGTGTTCACGTTGTCATGTGACATGTGCTTCCCTCAAACTTTGTTATGACCTCGGCACATTACCCAAATGAGGTGTGGGGGGGGGGGGGGGGGGGGGGGGAGCCAGGGAACCTCCATGTGAACTGCATGAGGAATGCCTTCATCTATTGTTCACTACTGTCCCCTCTGGGCCTAGAAGGGCTGGCATTGGATAAGCACTCTGTGAATACTTTTTGGATGAGTAGAGCTAACGGATTCTGCTTTCTGTGGAAACCTTGCAAGCCTTTCCCCAAAATGGTATTTTTCTGGCAATAGGAACACACTAAGCTATTGTGCAGGAAAGCTAATGCCCTTGGAATCGCCCTCAATCAGTGGTGGGAGAGTGGTAGATAAATATCTCAGCTTGTTTGCCTCAGAACAGATAACTTTGAGGCCTATGCCACACTGGCCCCCAGAGTCCCTAGTGGAGTTGCTGTTCAGTTTCCTAGTATGCTGACTGCCAGATAATTCACTTTTTCTAGCCTTCACTCCCTGCTGTCTCACTTCCCAGCTTTCCGGTGGTTCCTTGGATCAGCTTCCAAATAAACGATTTGTTTTAAATCCTTTTCTTAGGACCTCTTTGTGGAGGAAGCCAAACTAAGAAAAGTGATAAACAGGAGCCAGGCCAGTAGGCTGATTTTGAAGTTTGGAGATTCCCTGAGGTAAAGAGTAGACACGGAGGATAAATTAGTAGTAGATGGATATGACCAGATGTGTCTTTTTACAAGCTTATTCAGGAGGCTGTCCAGAGAATACATTTGAGAGACATGAGAGCAAGGAGAGCAGAGATGCTTGAAGACAGCTGTGGCAGTTCTGACAAGACAAAATGACGGTGGGGCTCTAAGTGTGTAAGTGGAGCTAACACAGAGTAGATTTACCTGATGTCCAACAGGGGGAATCCTAGAAGGAATGAGTGAGAGAGAGTCAAGGGTGGGGATACCTGTTAGGTTTCTGGGCTGTACAGTTGAGAGAACGGTGTAGACACAACTGAGTTGAGTGGCCCAGTGGGGAGAAGCAGGCTGAGTGGGCAGTGAAGGTGGTGGGGAGGATAAATTCACTTCAGTGTGCTAGTTTGAGATGTCCGTGTTGTGGGGAAGTGTAGGTTTTTATCAGGAAGCTTCATATCACCCACATTTTTGAGACAGATGCTACATGTCCAGGCATCAATTTTCTCCCTCCCCTTACCACTCTGCCACAAAAGATTGACTAACTTGCTACCAGTCTACCATTTGTTTCAAATACTATGTTGACCAAAAAAGTAAGGGGGACTGTCACCTATAAAGAAGTGCTAAGTATCTACGGGGCCAGGAATAACTTTGAAAGCTTTCTGCAGCTCTTGAAAACTTCTTCTTCTATATAACTGGTATGCATTGTCAATTGATAATATTTCTGGAACCACTGGGAATGAAGATAGGCTCCCTCACCCCAGTAGATTTTCCAGCTAATAGGAGTGTAGTGCACAGCAGGAATAGTGATTCAGGAATAGTGATTCAGCCAGCCCTTGGAGAAAGTGAATGCAAGGATGGAGACCAGCTTTGAAAAGAACTGAAGAAAGCAGCCCACACAATCCAGTTTGAAGATTAAATGTAGGCAAATGTGTCATTGTGTTTTAGGGATAGACATCACCTGTCAGGGTTAAACACGTTTCCTCCCCTTGGAGACTTGGAAAAATAAGAGAATGAATTATGAACTCATACACATACAAACACACATCTGATAGAAAATTTCTTTACAGATTTTAAATGCCCCAAATATTTAAAAAATGATTTCTCCAATTGTGGATGATTTATTCCTGTGAATAACAATTTGCCAAATTTTGCTATACATGCAGTGGTACCCTACAAGCATTGGACAATTGTATGTCTTTATGTCTGGTAGAATTTTTTTTCCTGTAATTTCCTTTCTAGCAGGTATTCTATAAGAACTCTTTCTACTTTTTGTTAGCTTCCATGACTTTGATTTGCTATTCCTTCAAACTGTATCTAAAACAGGGTGAACAGGCTCTGAGTGGAATGAGGTTTTTGTAATAACTGCTTGGTTACCTGAGGCATTTGTCTATAGCTATGTTCCTCTGCATCATGCCTGAACAGAATACTTGCTAATGGTCCTGGATCCCATGAGTAATGGAAACTGGACAAATATTCAGTAGAATCATATATGTTATTAATTACCCACCCTTTCATAAGCTCCAAGAAATTCTAATAGAGCTTTGATTCCATTTACTGTTTGTTTGCTTTCCTTGGTTTTCTTCCTTCCTTTATAATCTATGAATGGATCATTCTATGTTTGCTAATGGGTCTGCTCTGCCTTCCTGCATATCTCTCACCCATGGCACCAACATCTCTGACCACCTCCTCTCCTTCCTTCCTAGCTATCCCAAGCTCCAGTGTCCTCCCTTCTGCTCCCAGAGATGTGGTCCCCGTGTTGGTTTCCAGTCGGTTTGTCCGCCTCAGCTGGCGCCCACCTGCAGAAGCAAAAGGGAACATTCAAACCTTCACGGTCTTTTTCTCCAGAGAAGGTGACAACAGGTAGGTCATACCAGTATCAATCTGCCACCTCTTTAGATGCATACTGTGACATAAAGGCACCTGCAGGGGATCTTGAGAAGGGACTTTGGATACCATGTGGTATCTCAGCTCTGCCCATCACTCATTAGTAAGTGGAGATGATCTATCTCCATTGCGTGTGTGTGTGTGTGTGTGTGTGTGTGTGTGTGTGTGTGTGTGTTCTAATGGGATTGTTTATAGAATCAAATGAAATCATTTATCAGAAACTTCCTTGAAAAAAGACAAGCAAATGAATTTGTGATAATTAGGTTTTTTATGTCCTTGGTTTTCAAAGTAATAAACAGAGAACAGAATTTGGCTGTATATTGATAGAACAGGGTATGAGAGAACCACAGTGGCCAGGTTGTAATCCCAATTCTGTCATTGACATCACGTGATCTCAAGAAAACCACATAACTTCTTTGAGCCTGACTTTACTGTGTAATAAAGAGTAAATAATAATACTTTAGCTTACAAAGTTTTTGTTAGGATTATACATATGTAATGTCATACAAGATTGTCTAGTATTTGGTAGAAATGTTGTTCCTCTTTTCACTTGTCACTTGTAGGCAAATGTGATCTGTATATGTCTAGTTTTAAGATTACCATTCTCGATTTTTCTCAACATTTTCTCCTTGAAATGTTTCATGATTTTAAGATTTTGAAGTTTTATTTGTAAGCCTAATGTAGATATTGGATAAATTCCAATCACTTCTATAGGAATAAGCTGTGTAATATCTCTTTATATTTCTTTAAATTATTAAACTTACTTAGTTTGTATTCCATGTTTGATTATTCTAATATCTGCAGTCCTTGTGAGTCTAATTCAGCTATTTGTTTCTGCTTACTCTTCCTCATAGTAGCTTGTTTCTTTTCATGTATAGGTGATTCTTGATTGTTAACTCTAATCCTTAGAAATTTTTCTGAGGGAATTTTTGAGAGCAAGTATTAAAGAACAATCTTATGGGAGGATGTGCTTTACCAAAATGAAAGCATGATAAACCAGAATATTGTTAAAGTTTACTTGCTCCATATGGGTCTCATGCTGATATTTTATTGCTTATGAGAAAGTCCATTAAACAGGATAACATTTGTTTTTTCTGCTATTTTTAACACATCAACTCACATGAGTAAATGCAGACTTGTGATAAGGAATTCTCAGATTTTTTTGTGGTTGTTCTGTTTCAACTAAGCTAAGGCTGAGATTGTACATTTGCCAGTTCTCTCAGGAGGCTAATTTCCTTTTCTACTTCACCCTCTGAGATTTGCTCTTTCAGGATCTTTGCTGTATGTGAGGCTCTCTAATCAAACCATATACCCTACTTTATCTGCAAGCTTCATTTCCTATTCTCTTCTCCTATTGGTTACTAAAACTCCTAGCTCTAGACTTCTATTGATAGGCACATACCATCAGGCAAATACCAGCTCCATAAGTCTGCTTACTCACTATGATAATTCTCTTATTTTGCTGCCTGTATATTACGGATAAAAAAAAAAAACCCACTTTTTTTAAATAAAAAAAAGACTTTGAATAATTTACCCAACATTTTAAGTGTGCCATAACAGAAAGGTTTTTCACATAATACTTAGTTTGCCATACTGTTTTAAATGGCACTTTGTAATATTTACTTGAATGCCTATATAATTGGTATCATTATTATATATTATTAATTATTGACATTTGAGCAAGTGCATTTGAATATAAGCATGTTCGGTCTTTGGGGAATTTTATTTAAGATTAAAGCATAAAGCAACTCCATAAACATTTAACTTAGAAGGAATCAGACACCAGAAACTAATATTACATTGTATTTCTAACTGAGATTGAAATAAAACCTTTTTAAAAAAAGGAATCAGAAAAACAAGGAAGCTTTTGGAATAGACCTTTCCATTCTATTCTTTGGGCATTTTTTACTTTCTCTCTACTTCATCAACTATTGGGTTTTCTGGATTGCCAATTAAAGGCAATCGAAGAGATCAGCATGTTAAAACTCAATTTGTTTCAGAGAAACATTGTGTTGCCAAATCCCAAGATTCTGTACAGAAGAGCATCTATTGACAAATGCACTCTGCAGATCTGCTGTGCCTCTCACATAAGTGTGGAACATCATCATTATGTCCTTAAACAGATGAGGATTTGGGTAGGGCAACTAGGGTCTATATAAATGTCTATCTGTTGATTTAGCCAAGTCCTGAGTTCCAAGTCTTCCCTTCCACATTAAACTTCCTCTTATATATAACCAGTCTAAACTGGACACTAAACGGGAGACAGGGGTTTCTGGAATGTGGCAGCTTCTTTCATCCTTGAATGAGAACTACGTTCACTGTCTGTAAAGTTTACCAGCCAAGGGAATTGTAACCTGTATGATACTTCTACATAGATGGAATATTTTGGGGGTGATGGCAGCATGGGAGAACTAGAGAGGGAGAGTGAAAAAGAAAGGAACAGAGAGAAGTAGAATGAAAGACAGGAAGAAATGACAAGTGCCCTAGAGGGATCCTCTTGTTCGCAGGGCTGAGCTCACAGTAATCCTGGCTTTCACCATATTCACTCATTCATTCATTCATTTTTAAAAAAATTTTTTTAATTAATTTTTGAGAGAGAGAGAGAGTACAAGCAGGTGAGGGACAGAGAGACGGAGACACAGAATCCAAAGCAGGCTCCAGGTTCTGAGCTAGCAGCACAGAGTCCAACGCAGGGCTCAAACCCACAAACTGAGATCATGACCTGAGCCGAAGTTGGACATTCAACCGACTGACCCACCCAGGTGCCCCACCATTCATTCTTCTGTAGAGGAATAAACTAGAGGGGAGAAGCCAGGATTTAAGTGTGAGGCTTAGTCTAGTCTCTCAAATGTGTGAGTGCTTTAAACTCAAGATTCAAAAGGGACAATATAGCTTGGTTTAGCCAGAGTGATATTTAGTATAGCATGATAATCAGAAAGAACAGTACAACTTCTCTCATGCTGTGTCTCAAAATGCTCTCTTTTCTAGTCCACAGCAATAAAGTATATCATGTTAAAGTTTCTATTTTCTCTTATAATTTGACCTGACTTTAAAATGAAAGAAATATATGTACTACACATATAGCCTATGTTTCCTAAGATTACTTATTACCACAAAGAAGTAGGCATTTGTTTTAGTCTTATCATCCAGCTCTTTAACTCTGTGGCTTTATGATGAGTCTTTGGATCTCAGTGTGCACAGCTGCCCAAAACCACAGGTAATAATTCTTGCCCAGTTGTCTATATGTTGCCACATGGATTTCCTGGAGTCACCTTAAGTTTACCCTTCCCCAAACTATACTCATTGTCTCCTCCTTAAGTATATTTTCCTCTCTTTTATTCGTTTATGTTAGTACCTTCCGTCCTGTTGGCTAAGCAAAAAACCCATGCCATATTTTACTCCTCCCGGCCTCTCAGCTCTGCCATTAGTCATCCTGTGTTGTCACGTCTACCTTGGGCACATCTCAGCCATGCCCCCTGTATTATCTCCATCACCACTGATCTGATCTCTGACAATAGCTTCTTGCCTTCTAATCCATCCTCCTCATTGTCTCTGGTTATTTGTCTGAAATACAGTTTGGATCACTTCCTCTACTATGAAAAAAATGTGAATGTTCTTAAATTTAAATATTACAAAATTTCTAGATAAAGACATGCACATAGTAATTTACCAAGTCCTTTGAATGGAAGTCTATATCCAATCTATATATAGGTAGAGTGTAGTTCCTATAACCTATAATGGTTATAAATATGTCGCTTAAATCTATGGATACCTGGGTGGGTCAGTCAGTTAAGTGTCCAATTTCAGCTCAGGTCATGATCTCGCAGCTCATGGGTTCGAGCCCCACATCAAGCTCTGTGCTGACAGCTTGGAGCCTGGAAACTGCTTCAGGTTCTGTGTCTCCCTCTTTTTCTGTCCCTACCCTGTTCATATGCTCTCTCTCTCTCTCAAAAATAAATAAACATTTATATATATCACTTAAGTCTAAATGGCTAGATTTAAAAATGGTACTATTGTTTACCAGATGTGTGACTTTTGAACATTTAATTATGTTAAAGACAGGAATAACATCTCTCTGCTATGCTGGCCAAAAGGAAGATGAATTATACCTCTCAGAATTTCTATGAGAATTAATTGAAGAAATTTAAGCAAAGCATCCAGGGAAGTCACTGTACCTAGGCTGAATAGGGGGACCCAGAATAGTGTGAGCTCAGAGAAAATACGGAAAAGAGGCCAAAAATTAAGCTCAAACGGTGGTAATAATAATAATGATAGCAACAACAACAATAATAAATTGCTATTTTGTATGAACCATTTCATAGCTGCTCACTGTTTCCTACTTATAGACCATTTAGTTATTTCCCTTTCTATTGAAATATTTCTTATCTTTCAAGCCCATGGATCAGTCCTCCATACCCCTTGGCTAGTCATGGCCCCTGTTAACACCAATCCCTGCAACCTCTTCATGATCTCAAGTTCACACATCTTTCTCTGATCTTACTCTCTAGACTCTTATTTTCCTGTCTTCCATTTAGGACTCTGGTTACAACACACCTTTGATTACACAGGGAACTACAATTTGTTGATTCTGCAGTGTTTTCTTGGTCCCTCATCCTTTATGTTTCCCTTCACTTATTAAACAGCTAAAACCCCTGCCTTATTATTATAAACACTGATACACCCCAAAGTTTTGCTTGCTGTTTTTTAATTTCATATTAATTTCTTGGCAAAAGCCAACTCAAGTAAATGTTATTTTCTACCTACTCTCTACTTGTCTCTTGTAGCTGAATGTAACTAGAAGAAAATGTATAATTATGCTGACTAGTTTTTAAATTCAAAACTACTCATATTAAGTTGCCCCTTAATGCTGCTAGAGATTATATAGAGATTATATATCAGGCAGTCTTTCTCACAACATGTTCCTACTTGTATTTCACACCTTTTCTTTTCTTCTCAAATCTCCAACATTTTTACTC